AGCGTCGGGGAGCGCTTCGACTCTGTGTTCGGTCCCTCAGCTGTTGAGCGGATGAGAGATGTGGAGGGGCTTCTTCCTGTAGTTTTCATGAAGGTTTCCTCCCTGAGCAGCTGAGGAAGCGTCAGTCACACCGCTTTGCAAGGTGCCAGGTCCGATGGCAGCGGTAGTACTGCTCGCATTAGAGACAGGGTTGAGCCACAGATGATGCTTTTGAAAAAAACAGTTGATAGCTTATTAGTTGTGAAGGAGAAAGCGATTAAAACTGAGAGTACGTGAAGTTATGCCACAGAGTAAGTACTAACGTGCAGTTTCTTCCTACCATCATCTTGCTGCAGATCAGTGTTTCCCTATTAGCATTGCCCAGTGTGGTGCTCGTGCTTCTAGTCATGTCACTGCAGCACTCCTTACTTCCTCCTTAACTAGAAGATATGGCTTGAATTTATTTTTGTGTTTGTTGTCGTTGTTTTCAAGGATATGAAAAAAAAATATTTATGGGTACGTTCTTTATCACAACTTTTTAATTTTAAATTGCTTCCAAATTTGGGTAATGAAGTAATAAAATCTTTCATATATGTCTGTCTGTATATGCCTGGGTAATTGTAATAACTTGTTTTTGTAGTGGATGATGCTGGTAAGATAGAACACGAAGGTTCTGCTGAAATTACCATGGAAGCAGAGTCAGAAAGTGGCTCTTGTAAAGTGGATGGCATTTGTCCAGAAGTCATCAAGGTCTATATATTCAAAGCAGATCCTGGAGAAGATGATTTAGGTAAAATATGCTCGTTCTAGAATATTCTAACCTGACATTTGAAATTTTGCGTAGAGGCTGTGATTTCTCTCAAGTCACCTGTAAAGAGCTGTGGGTCTAATGTGAAAGCGTGACAAACTTTCAATTTTCTGCTCTTTAGCGTAGAATTTGGACAAAGTGTGTTTAAAATATTTTGCTTTGGTCTTCCTAATTAGGGGGCACAGTAGACATTGTGGAGAGCGAGCCAGAGAATGACCACGCAGTTGGATTACTTGATCAAAATAGCAGTATTCGTATTCCAAGGGAGAAAATGGTTTACATGACTGTAAATGATTCTCAGCATGAAGATGAAGACTTAAGTAAGTAGGTGGCTTTCATTTGGGAGCAGGGATTTTCACTTTCAGCAGTGCAGTGTTCCTATTAATTTTTTCTTGACTTCTTTTTCTCTTAGATGTTGCAGAAATAGCTGACGAGGTTTATATGGAAGTGATTGTAGGAGAGGAGGATGCAGCAGCAGCCCATGAACAGCAAATTGATGACACTGAAATTAAAACTTTCATGCCCATAGCTTGGGCGGCAGCTTATGGTAGGTAATACTCAAAGAATTCTTCCTGGTGACACGGTCTGTAGCAAATTGTCGGGGATTGTTTTTTGGAGGGTAGTGGAGTATTTGTGCTTTTGTGCTTGTTTTTTTTAAGTTTTGGCTTAAGAATGGTTTCTTAGCCTAATGAGCCTTAAAAAGAGAAGAAGAGGGGAGCTGTAAGGCAGGCTGCTGCTTACTCCTGTTTCAACAAGTGTTGTCCTTCATATTTTCATGATGTAGAAGGGGAAGTACACGAGCTTTCAGCTGAAAAAATGAGTCTCAAGTACACCTGTCCTTTGCAGTTTTAGGACACAGTAAAAGCTGGCTCGGGAACAGAACTGAGTATTTTTATTTGGGCGGGTGGGGGAGGGGGGAAAGCGGGTGGGAATATATGAGATTTAGTGTAACAGTGAAAAGCAGCGCTGACCTCTAGCTTGATTTAAATGCTTTCTACAAGGAACATGTAAATACATGATTTCACTAATGGAAATAATTAATTGGTTAACAAAAAAGAAGCTGGAGGGAGACATCTTAAAATTACAGCAGAACGTTGAAAACATTTCCAGCCTGCAGAACCATTTGTCTCGATCGTTGGTATCTGAGCACCAACTGGTGCACAAACTGATTTCCAAAACTTATGTGAGCTGGTAGACCAAAATCTCATCTTAGAAACGACCCCTTTATCCTTCTAAGCGAAGCAGAAGAAATGGTGGAGTAGAGGACAAAACATATGTTATATATCTGCGTGATGTGGATTGCGGTGCCGGTGCCGGCAGACGAATGGCAGGGAAGTGCTGAGAATGCGATGGAGGCTGGGATCGCTGGAGGCTGGGATCGCAGGCGCTAAGTCAAGGGAGGGCAAGCTTTCAGGGAGCAGCGGGTGTTAAAAGTTGGTAGGAGATGGACGGTAGTGCGCCGAGAGCCTCGTCTTTGGCTGTGTACTGGCGAGCACAGTTTCAGCAGACAGGAAAAGGTAGAAGCCAGGTTGAGTGGGAATTAAAAATGAAATTAAGTGAACTCGAAACAACAGTTGTAGATTGAACGTTCAGTGATTTTGGAGAAGGAGAAGATTGGGCAGAGTGTATTAAGAACAGAGAGATAGAATCAAAAGAAGAATTTAAGAATGTAGGGAACAGCGGAGCGATTGCATTGTCAGCAGTGAGCAACCTATGCATGCAAGGTGAGAGGTGGTGGGGAGGGAAGAAATAATGAAGCATGGAGACATGAAAATGGCAGAGGTTCCTCATGTGCACTTCTTGGAACTCTCCTCCACTCAAAGCGGGTTTACGAGCCGCTAACAATGGTGTCTTAAAATGTTAAGTTTGTTCTGTTGCCTGTATTGTAGCAAAGCCCAGTCCCACTGTGCTTTGTATTCCAGCAAGCTTTTTTGATTTTATCCCAGTATTAGAAAGTGTTTGGGGCCTGTTTTGTGTTATACTCTAGAAGGACTCTTCACACACCTGTTGCAAACTGTGCTTTCTGCGTGTGAGATGTGAAATGGGCTTTTTCTGTCGGTGTTTGTCACTTGCCCCATTTGCTGTTCAACACTTGAGCTAGCATATAGATCGGAGTCTTCAGACCCCGCACATGCCTCTTCCTGGCTCTGAGTCTTCTTACATGAATCATGAACGTTCATTCTCGGCACTCTGTGAAGGGAACACCTATTGAGCATCTTGCACTGTCTTCCACTTCGATATTCCTGTCCTATTTGTGTGCTTTGCTTTCACCAGAAGCTGTTGCCTTCTGTTGATTCAAGTAAATGCCTAACCACAAAAGTTGTTATTAAAGTTTACTTATGCCCTTAAATCACCGGTGTTAACCTGATTGCCAATAAATACCTTCCCGGATATATAGATATATTTACTTGTAATTTTCATGTTTGTTTTACATCCAGTGATACCATTTGTGTATTAAACACGAAGCTCTGTGAGGCAAAGAGTGTTTCCTTCTTTCTGTTATACTGAGCATGCTCTTTCTTCCCAGTAGAAAGAATTTGTAAGTGTTAAAGCATCAGGTGTGCAAATAGTAAGTAGTGTCCTTTGTGTGCAAGTTTATGGCTGTTCAGAATGGTTCTTTGGTTGCAGTTCCAGTTCTGAAACTTGGTGTGTGAGAAACTTGAGTCAGGTGAATTCAGACGCCCCGAAGTGACTGGGAGCTCACACAGGGACGTGTTTCAGGACTGAGAGGAAAATCGTGCCCAGTAAATACTGTGACATGCTGTTGTTTACTGATGTTCAACATTTTGGGCATCATTAGCAACCAAAGAAATGCAAAAAAAAACCCTGCATTTAAAGGAGAACTTTTTGTGAAATGGAACCCCCTTAATTCCTGTAAATTGTGTCCTCCTGTGAAGTTAGGTTGACCAAGCCAATGCTTCCAGGTTCGTAACACCACATGTAAAATTTGGAAGTTACGTACAGAGAAGTTTTGCAGCTCATCCTGTGCATTGTTACGGTTTGGTTAAATGTCCAGGTCATAGTTGGTAACTTCTTGTATTATCACTGTACGGTTTGTTGCTCGAATCGTCTGTAGAGTGATGACGGTGGGTAACTTTCGAACTTCTCTTGTTAGGTAATAACAACGATGGCATCGAAAGTCGGAATGGCACTGCGAGTGCTCTTTTGCACATAGATGAGTCAGCTGGACTTGGGAGACTGGCTAAGCAAAAACCAAAGAAAAAAAGGAGACCCGAGTCCAGGCAGTATCAGACAGGTGAGTGTCTGGTGCCTGCCTGTACTCTCATTCCTTAACTTACCCACCGTAAGCGGGTGTGCTTCCCTGACAGCACGTGCAGTGCCGCGTAAACAAAACAGCGGTGATTTGGGGAATTACTTTGTTTGACACCACTTGTATGTCATAAATGAGTGCATAGTTTATTTTAAGGTTTTTAAAAACATGATGGGTTTGGATCGTGGGGGGTGTTTTGAAGGAGACCATCTCTGACACAGGAAAAAATCAGTACGGTAGCAGAAGGTTAAAAACCTGTGTACTTAACTTGCCACGCCAATTCTGATGTTTAATGTGACTTTTTAAAAAGTGGTGTTAGCTAAACAGTGTTGTGTAACAGTGCTTTTAAAAAACCCTTTCTGTCTTTATTGGAAATAGATAGAACAGTACATTTCGTTATACCAGCTCAGTAAGCAACTGGAAAACCCGAGCATTATATGTTAACGTTTGATAGTGTGACTTCTAAACCCTTTTCTGTTTCAATTGTGAAATAAATTGCTTCGATGTTCTCACCACTGTTCTTACTTGCATCTCTAAGAACAGATGCGCTGCTCTGGTGTTACTTGGTTTCTGTGGTTACTGTGTCATCGTCTGAAGGGTTTATTTGGTCTGACAGAGTTGAAAAAGCACACGGCTGTTTTCTCTAGTAGCCTTGCCTTAAATGATGCTAAAAGTTTCTTTCCAAATTGTGACTTCACTGTAGGAGTCCTGTTTTGTCTAGCACTGAATCAGTAAACCAGGCAAATTTTAGTCTTAAAGTTTGCTTTTTCTGTGTCCAGCTACCTAGTCAGTTCTCCTACTAAAACAGGTTTGGAAAAGAGAGCTTTTTAGCATGCCTAGGCAAATTCAGGGTAAACAAATCAGGCTGAGGGATGAGTGCAAATAAGTTCCAAAGCTTTGAGGTGTCCGTGTGTGAAATGGGCTCCCGTTGATTCCTGCTCGATACCTCCTCAGACTGTGACGGTGACAGATGGCACAAGAAGGAGGCGTTAGCGTGGGGACGTGTGGATTGTAGTCAGCAGTAGGCGCCTTAACCGCTGGATTAAACTTGATCTGCAGCTGCGCGGAAAGCCAGAGCAGCTCGTGTGCCGTGCGTGCCGTGCGGTGCTCGGTTGGACGAGCCGGCCGCCGCTCTTTGCACCAGTGCCGGTTTCTGCCCGTAGTTAACGCGAGAGCTGGGTCAGAGCCCTTCCGAGTAGGGTTGTGTGAGGTGACGAGCGGCTGGGCCATGCTTTGGTTGCCTCCATCAAAAAACAGTTTTTCCTTTCTCCTGCTAATAAAAATGAGCAAAAGTAGTAGTTCCCACAATTCCTCCTACCTAACCCAGTAACAAGCCTGCTTATTGTACAGTAAAGTGTATGTGTCTGGTCTTGTTTAACAATTCAGTTTATCGTTAAGGTTGAGATACGACATTTATTGCAGTGTAACGTTGTCGTATGATATTGATGAAGGGTGTTTTTTGTTGTTTTTCAGCAATAATCATTGGCCCTGACGGTCACCCGTTGACAGTGTACCCCTGCATGATTTGTGGAAAGAAATTTAAATCTAGAGGTTTCTTGAAAAGGCACATGAAAAACCACCCGGAGCACCTTCTTACCAAGAAGAAATATAGATGCACAGACTGTGATTACACTACGAATAAAAAAATAAGTTTACACAACCACTTGGAGAGTCATAAGCTGACCAACAAAACAGAAAAGCTTATTGAGTGCGATGAGTGCGGGAAAAGCTTCTCTCATGCAGGAACTTTGTTTACTCACAAGATGGTGCACAGGGACAAAGGCGTTAATAAAATGCACAAGTGCAAATTCTGCGATTATGAGACGGCGGAACAAGGATTGCTGAGTCATCACCTTCTAGCTGTCCACAGCAAGAACTTTCCTCACATTTGCGTGGAGTGTGGCAAAGGATTTCGCCATCCGTCGGAGCTCAAGAAGCACATGCGAATCCACACTGGGGAAAAGCCGTACCAGTGCCAATATTGTGAATACCGATCCGCCGACTCTTCTAACTTGAAAACTCACGTAAAGACTAAACACAGTAAGGAAACGTCGTTAAAGTGCGATATTTGTTTCCAGACTTTTTCAGATACCAAAGAGCTACAGCAGCATACGCTTATGCATCAAGAAAGTAAAACACACCAGTGTTTGCATTGTGACCACAAGAGCTCAAACTCGAGTGATCTGAAACGACACATAATTTCAGTCCACACGAAAGACTACCCTCACAAGTGTGACATGTGTGATAAAGGCTTTCACAGGCCTTCGGAACTGAAAAAACACGTGGCGGCTCACAAGGGTAAAAAACTGCACCAGTGCAGACACTGTGACTTTAAGATCGCAGATCCGTTCATCCTGAGTCGCCACATACTCTCAGTGCACACAAAGGATCTTCCGTTCAGGTGCAAGAGGTGTAGAAAGGGCTTTAGGCAACAAAACGAGCTGAAAAAACACATGAAAACACACAGTGGCAGGAAAGTTTATCAATGTGAGTACTGTGAGTATAGCACTACAGACGCCTCAGGCTTCAAACGGCATGTGATTTCCATTCACACAAAAGACTACCCTCACCGTTGTGAGTATTGCAAGAAAGGTTTCCGAAGGCCTTCAGAGAAGAACCAGCACATTATGCGGCATCATAAAGATGTTGGGCTGCCTTAAAGTCTCTCTCTCAGACTCTTGCGGCTGGAATCAGAAAGGAATTTTGCCTTTCAGGCAGTTAGCTTATTTTAAAGCCAATCACCTGCGATCACACACACACACACACACACACAAAAAAAAAAAAAACCAACAAAAAAAAAAACATACTGTGCATTTGATTTGTTGCTGTATAAAAATAGGATTATTGCTTCTAGTTGACTTTTATACCTTTTGTTCAATAGCGTGTTCTGAATTCTATTCAGTTTGTTTAATAAATGAAGAAAAGATGGCAACAATAAAGTTGCATTTAATAAAGTCGACCCTGTCTCTTACTGAATTTTTCAACCGTAATAGTTTATTTAAGTATATTTATCTTACTGACCTCGTTGATACTCACAGTGTCCATGTTAATGCAGTTTTGTCGTGAATTTTAAAACTATGAAACTTCTCTTGATGCAGTTGTCAGAGGTGTGTATAAAATGGGGAGTTGTGACGTGGAAGATGAAGTCCCTAGGGCGCACCCGATTGTCTTGTTTTGACTCTACAGACTTTGTGGCAGGTGAACTGTGTTCCATTTGAGGAGTTACACATCTGACTTCATTGCGGAAAACTATTCTGCGTTTTAATTCAGGTTTCAGAGAGAAAAACTTTTCACAAGTGGTTTGGGGCATTTGTTACCTTTCTTTGGCGAATTTAAAAGTACGCTCAAATATTACGTTTGTTGTTCTGTGCTTCTTTGAAAGGTTTTGCGTGTTACAAATGACTTGGGTTTTTTTCCGATTTACTGCTGTCTTAATGTTGGAAACGTGAAATATCTTTGTTCCGTTTGCAGAGTTAATAGATCACAACTGTCTGTACGTGCTGGTAAACGTACCTCAAAGTTAATGCTTTTATGTATATTAGTATTTCTTTGAAAGAACTGTTTGTGGTTCAAGTCACATTTTTATTGTGAGTTGTTTTAGAATAAAATTTAAGACCGAGAGGTGCCTCGATTTTGGAAATGAGATATTTACAGTGAGAGTTTCAGAGGGGGATGGAGCGGAGCAGGGGCGTCCATAAGCAGTAGAGCCGTTTCAGCGTAGATACCCTTAGTAAGAAAAGTAACCCATGGTAGTAACGGAACCGTTCCTAAATTGAATGTTTTTCCTGAGCCATTCGCAGCTGTGTTAAGCTGCTGTTTATTAATCAGTACAGTATCCAGAATTAACCCAGTTCTTTTAATCTGTTTATAAACAGCGCAGAGAACATTACAATTATTATATGCAATTTTGCCACCTGAAGACCATTAGAACGTAGCGCCCTGTCGTTTGCTGATTGCAGCATAAACGTCCCGAGCGCGAAGCCGCGTACCTTAACAGCAACCGTGGAGGGAAAAACCCAAACCGCTTAATTCCGTGCCAGGTTTTAGGAGCCGGCCCTGCTCCCCTTGCTCAGGCAAAGTCCCGCCAAAGACACCGGCTGGCGATGGGCTGCAGAGCTGGGCCCCGGCTGCCTGCTGGGTCAGGGTGGGTTTGTGACTGACGGAAAGGGCTCGGAGCCTGGCCCGGCGCTGGCCCTTGTTCCTGGGCAGGCAAGCTTGCTGTTGCAGTCCAGTGGGAGCGTTAGCGAGGATTTCAGGTTTGGGGTGATAAAGGGGCGTAGGTTTCCTTTCGGATGTGCATCTTGTGAGCCTCCGGTGTTGTGTTTTGTTAGCGAGCCCTGCTCCTGCTGCTCAGCCCTTGTGTTTCACTGTCAGCCGAAATATTCGCGTGTAGTTTGCAGCTCAGGGGAGCCGAACGCCACGTCGCTACCTTTATTGTACAATGGTTTGTTCTGCTGATGCCTGCTTGGCAGTGGTCCCCAGGCCTGTCCGGGGGGCTCTTGTATAGTATCGCTGCTCCCGGGCCGTGAACCCGCGGTGTGTCGTACCTAGGTGTGCTGCGCTGTGCCTTCAATGAAATCCCCGGCGCAGGCGGTGGGTTTCGTGCGCGGCCGTAGCCGTCGATCTCTTGCCCGCCGACTGCCAAACCAGATGCAGTAAAACCCAGTAGAGATTTTTCCATCCGCGCCTTGCGAACCACCCTCCTGCGGCTTCATTTTTTTTTTTTTCCTCCCTCTCTTATGTTCAAGCGTTTTCTAACTGGAAACCTGAGAAGTGTACAAAATCTGCATAAATTCCCGTAGCGTTGCTGAGGATTTTAGCCATTTTGAACTTTATTTTTTTAAATAAGCTGAAAGACAAAGAACACAATTTTACACATTTTCTCTCTCTTACGTAGCCTGGAATCATACACACTTCTTTTTTTTTTTTTTTTTTTTTTTTTTTTAAAGCACAATGTTGAAACTTTTTTTTTAATAATTAAGGGTTTGTCAAGTGGATTTTGTAAAATGTATTTGTCTGTATAAAGAGAAAATGAAATTATAGTTATTGTTAATGTACTGACATTAGTTACAGGTTAGTTTTAATTCTTAAATAATTTGCTTAGCAAATGCTATAAAAATGGATGTTTCAGTTTAATGTTTAAAAAAGGTACAGATTTTTACAAGGACATAATATAAATTATTGTTCTGTAGAAAATACCCTGTTAAATATTGTATACGTCCTTCCCTCTGTACACTTTGTAAAAAAGACAAAAGAAAAAAACAAAATACATAGAATCATATAGGGATGTGTGACATTATTGTAATTGTGTACTTGATAATAACGTGAAAAAATAAAATTCAAAATATTTTCCTGTTAACGGACGTTTAGTCTATTTGATGTCAGTACCGAGAGCAAGCGTTGTTCTGAGGGACACGGTCATCTGTAACTCCTGCTGCGCTTCAGCTGGTTCTCCTGCTCCCCGTTTTTCATCTTGTTCTGTGTAGCACTGGGGGGCGGGTGATTCAGTCCCTCGTTTGGTTGAAACGTACCTTTCCCAGAAAATCCGCAAAAGTGAAAGGCAGGTGTCAGGTCTTTGAAATCCAGTTTAATGCCTCCTTTTGGACTAAGGGATTCCTGTCTGTCAAACTTCTTACAACGCCTTAATGTTTTCAGCAAGGGGGTTACCTATGAAGTGCTCCTACACTGTCCCAAAAAGCCCCCCCCAAACCCCGAGTCGAATGAAACTAAATTAATTAAAGGTGTTTCCCGGTGCCTCTTCTCTCGGCACGTGATCCCCCCGCGGGTGCCGTCGGGAGCCTGGCTCCCTTCCCTTCCCCTCCCGCCGGGCTGGGTGGCCCGGGCAGGGAGACGCCCGGGCTGGGTCTCTGCCCCGTCCTGTCTGCCCTGCCCCAGCTCCTCCACCCGCTGCTCCCTGGGGGCTGGCACTGGCCGGCGGTGGGGATGGAGAGGGCTCGTGGCTGGTTTTCCCACTGCTCTGGTGGGAAATGCTTTGGCCCAGTTCAGTTAAACTGTGCGCGCAGGGACTATTTTGGTAAGAGTTCGTCGGGCGCGGGCCATCCCCCGTCGATGGCGCGTGTGACCGAATGTCAGCCCCTGCCCCCACTAACCTAAGGACAGGCGCGTTGGGTGTCGCTGCCTTCTGCACCCGCCTGAGAAGGCGGGAGGGGGGACGTGGAGGTGGCGTGTCCGCTGGCCCGGGCACCGCCCGCATGGGTGCTCCCGTTAGCGTGCTCTCACTGGGTACCTTTAGGGAACGCTGACTCATTCACTCCTCGCCTTGATCCGTCGTGCAGCCAGACTGGCATCGGGCAACTCTTCCCAGTCAGAAGCGGTCACGCCGCGTTGCTGGCAATCTGCTTTCGATTGGATTTGTTTTGTTGTTTTCTCCATCTACCCGAAGTTCCTCAGCTGCTCGTCACGAAACTGCACGCTGAGTTCCAGAGGCGTTTGGGGCGCTGGAGAATAAACACACTGTCTTGGTTTGAAAGACAGGTGTCT